AGGAAGTAAAGCTCCTCTGCGCTCCAGCAAATCCCAGCTGTCCTCATGGAAACCAGATACGGGATCCAAATGGGAGCGAATCTCTTAGTTAGTGTTTGCACTGAAAACCGGCTCAAGAAATTGAGTTATACAGAGTGAATGAACAAATCATCATCTGAATCCCAGGCAAAGCAAAGGCACATTGTTGAAGTGAAACACAAACAATTGAAGTTAACTCTATAAAACTGGATTCGTTTGTGTTCTATATAGTAAATGAGTACTGATACAGTACTTGCCAAATGTTTGGAAACATGATTTTAAATGTTTTTAATGAAGACTCTTCTGCTCACCAAGGCTGCATTAATGCGCTCTAAAATACAGAAAAACACCAAAAATGTGAAATATTATTACAATTTAATATAGCTGTTTTCTGTTTAAATATATTGCAAAATGTAATTTATTCCTGTGATCAAAGCTGAATTTTCAGCATCATAACTCCAGTCTTCAGTGTCACATGATCCTTCAGAAATCATTCTAATATGATTTTTGTATATTAGTAAACAAATGCAATAATACGCTAGCTGATTAGCCTGTTTTCCTTCATTCATGATCCAAAGCTTCCTATTCAGATTATTCATCTTAAAAAAAAAAAAAGCTTTTGATGTGATTTATGGAGGCATATGTTCAGTTGGAGCTTCTCAGTGTCCGTGAGGCGTGTAGCAAGTGTCTCGCTGTGCAGTTGTCCGCTGGCTGATGGGCCGCTTTGAGCTGTAACAAATGTCCAATGTCTGATGGTCGTTTGAGGTTCGATGAGGCTCATTAATCATGGTAGGTTTTCAGGGCCTGAGTCAATGTTTCTACAAAGAGCAGGTCAATAGAAAAGCCTTTGAAGGATCGCTGAGCTCGATCCAGGAGCTGTGTTTGTGTTGTCTGATGGACTCTGTGAACATCAGTGTCGGGGAATGTTACTTTAAATTATGTGTTATATTATTGCATGACCAATGTTGTCAAATTGTTCTTTTTCATTTCATTGCATTGCAAAAGGCACAGTGCAAATCCATACATTATATATTTGTTGTCGTTGCAGACAACATTTTATTTTACTTTATTATTTTTTATTTTATTTTATTTTGATGCAAAAGGCAAAGTGCAAGTCCATACATCATCATTTGCTGCTGCTGTCAAACAGACAACTTAAAAAAAATATATATATTTTTTTTCCATGCATAACCACTAACACTAGTGAATACATTTACAACATGCTATTACTTGATAACAAAAATCAAATCGTACTTGTAAATTTCTCTTGAAGTGACTCTATGATGTTGCTAGATGCTGTCTCTCTGTTTATCCACTTTGATATTCTGTAGAGCATTGATGAAATATCTGCTTCGGAAAACAGGAAGAGAGAGGGATGAGAAGGAGACCTTTGGGTACATTTCAGCATGCACAGAGGTCTGATTAGCTACTTGCAAATGATCTTTCTCTTTCCACAAAGTAAACCCAGGAGGTTTCATGCGTAACTGCTGTTGGGCTTTAGACAAACCCTCTGGACAACCAAGTGCCAGAAAGTCAAATCTAAAAATCTACTGAACAAGCACTGTAATATATGGAGGAAATATGTGCAAAGCAAAGATTAACCCGCTTTTTTTTGTCAAAGTCAAGGTACATTTTTAATATAGAGCACATTTAAAACAATACATATTTACCAAAGTTCTTTACTCTGGCAATTTAGTCTCTCTCTCTCTCTCTCTCTCTCTCTCTCTCTCTCTCTCTCACACACACACACACACTCACACACACACACACATAGGCATGGGCCGGTATGAGATTTTGACGGTATGATATAACCGTAAGCAAAAATATCAAATATATTTTTTTTTTCCATGCATAACCACTAACACTAGTGAATACATTTACAACATGCTATTACTTGATAACAAAAATCAAATCGTACTTGTAAATTTCTCTTGAAGTGACTCTATGATGTTGCTAGATGCTGTCTCTCTGTTTATCCACTTTGATATTCTGTAGAGCATTGATGAAATATCTGCTTCGGAAAACAGGAAGAGAGAGGGATGAGAAGGAGACCTTTGGGTACATTTCAGCATGCACAGAGGTCTGATTAGCTACTTGCAAATGATCTTTCTCTTTCCACAAAGTAAACCCAGGAGGTTTCATGCGTAACTGCTGTTGGGCTTTAGACAAACCCTCTGGACAACCAAGTGCCAGAAAGTCAAATCTAAAAATCTACTGAACAAGCACTGTAATATATGGAGGAAATATGTGCAAAGCAAAGATTAACCCGCTTTTTTTTGTCAAAGTCAAGGTACATTTTTAATATAGAGCACATTTAAAACAATACATATTTACCAAAGTTCTTTACTCTGGCAATTTAGTCTCTCTCTCTCTCTCTCTCTCTCTCTCTCTCTCTCTC